GGAAGTTTTAATAGTATTTTTACATCAAAATATGCCTAGGCTTCAGAGTTTTTGAGCTAACGAGAAGAGTCTTCCAATGGATTAATTGCTCTTGAATCAGGATCATATAAATTATGCTGATTCTCAATGAATTGTGAATACCTTGAAAAGCATTCGTGTTGTCAGCTTATCGCTGCTGACGAGAGAGCCTCTCCAAGTGTCGAATCCCTGTTTGATCGAGACAATGTTCATTAGATAAGTAATAAAAATGTCTGGAATGGTTTGGTTTTCCAAGGCTTTATTCTAGAAATAGCGAAATTTTATTAAGTTTTTCAACAAAAAGATGTAGTCTTCGTCAATCGACATGAAAAATCGATTTTTTGAATTTCTCTCGTGACTAAAGAAGACTACAGCTTTTCGTTGAAAAACTTAATAAAATTTCGCTATCTCTAGAATAAAGCCTTGGAAAACCAAACTATTCTAGACATTTTTATTACTTATCTAATGAACATCGTCTCGATTAAACAGTGATTCGACACTTGGAGAGGCTCTCTCGTCAGCAGTGATAAGCTGACAGCACGAATGCTTTTCAAGGTATTCACAACTCATTGAGAATCAACATGATTTATATCATCCTGACTCAAAGGCAATTAATCATTTGGGACACTTCCCTGGTGAGAATCTTAAAAGACTGAAGTGAAAATTATTTTTAGTCCTTTAATATTCTCAAAAAAAGCATTCCAGCAGCGTTTTGCTTTCTGAAAAATAGAAGATTTCATCTTCAAAGAGTTTTGTATCTTTGAGCATTATCAAATATGTATGATCTTTTTTTGTCGGAATCAATTTAGAATGTTCTATTTAAGATGTGATCTTCTAATACACATTTATCGTTGAACCTTTGGAGAACAATGATTTAATGATCTTTTATATTAACACTTATTTCTATCCATTGTTTTTTACTGAAAGAAAGAATCGATTGACTTGAACTCCCATTAATTTATATTCGTTTTTGTAATAAATATATTTATATTAGATCGTAGAATAAATCTCAATCAAATCTTTTATTCAATGACCTATGTGATCTATTTGATTCACTGATTACTAACATTGAAGATTAATCAGATATAATATAAAGATAGCACGATTTTTATTCGGTTCGTTAAATAAGTGTGAGCAACAAAAAGACACCGAGGACATGTTGTCCAAATTTTATTCAAAAGAAAAGGGTTTATTTAAGGATGCAAATTAAGCGTGTATTAGCTTGATTTAATGTATGTATTATTCTAAAAATAAACGAATGACGTCCTTTTACAATAATATAAAAGGTAGATGTTAACTAAAAAAACAATGTTTTCCAAATAAAGTTCTAAACAGAATTTTGACCTTTTATTATTATAGAAATATCTTTGAACTTTAAATTTATAATTTCTTGCTTTTTTTTAATTAAAATTGTAGTCGAGTCATACAAACAAGCAAAGTAAATGATCCATAGATTGACTAGTAAAAAAATCCTGTCGGATCCAAATTTTGCATGAAAGACAATGCATTCTATGAGATTGATGCAAAACAAATATTCACTGTATCAATATGTTCGATAATTTTATAATAAAAATTGAAGATTTTTATATATTAAAAAAACCATAGTTATTATTTTTATTAACATCAATATCTTAATTAGACATGTGAATTAAAGGATCCTGCACGATTTGGTGGCCTATCTTGAACAAGAGTACCATATATGTGGTTTTGTAGAGCAATTTGCGGCACATCGAATGCTATAGAAGAAAAAGTTTTCCTCAAACTTTCATGTGCTAAGAGTCTATATACTGGTTATAATGCTTGAGGAATATATTTCGATACAGTTATAGATGTTCTTCAATTTTCTATCATCAATAGTTCTTATTGTTGCTTTCTTTCACACTTAAAAATGCTTCCTTTTCTTAGGTCTTAATTTGTTTCTTGATTATAGCATATTCCAGTATGCTCAACTCTGTGTCACAGAACAAGTGAGTGTCAACGTGAAACTTTCTCAAAAATTGCACACCATAGAGCTTCATATGTTTCATAGATAACATCTTTTGGAACAGTAGAGACACATTGTCTACTAGTCAGATCGTCCCCTAGAATAGTCTTTTTTTCTATATGAACGGGGTGGTATATTGACAATATTTTAATAATAGTCAATAGTCTTATGAAACATTTTTATGCACTAAGAATCAGCAAACTTGGATACTCTAAATAAAAATTTGATAAAGAAATAATAATAATAGTAGCAGGCCTTCTTCCAGCAACCATATTCCGGTACCCTTTCCAGGGACCTGGAAGCCAAAAAAACTATTTCTTCCTTATAAAGGTGTTATTTATATCAGTTCATCAGAGATGCTTTGTTGATGCTTGGTTCATAAGAGTTGTTAACCTTTTAACTGTTAAATTTTTTTTGAAACTGAATAGTAAACTTTTCGTCAAAATAACTTTTGAGAAATTTACAGACATTCAAGGATAATACGAAATTTTTACGGTAAATATGTTTTATTATTTAATTGCAAAACTTGTTAGAATTCTTTTAGAACATAATTAAATGTTCTTGTAGAATCTTCGGAAAGAGGATCAAATTTAGAAGAGCTTCTCGAAAGACTATATGTATATACACATAAACGATTGTGCTTGTGTCTATTACTGTTATGTAGAGAAAGTCCTACAATCAATGTGAAAATGGCACATTTTAATAGAGTAGCAACAATCAATTCAATAATAATATTGAAGGAACGGATCAACACTAAATATGAATAATGATAGCATTAACACAGAAGGACATAACCGATATGAAACATCAGAACCAGTGGAGAGAGCTTCAATCAATACTGAATGTTAGAATTGATACAGAGCATACAAAGAAGACATAGTTAAGAAATTCTATTCTTCATATTTTCCATAAAAATTGTTTTGATGAGTATACTCGTCAATATATCGACTTCTTCATATAGTAAAATAGACTATTCTCGGGGCAAATCTTTTAAGTTGACAATGACTCCCTGATGACCCAACATATGTTATCTGTGAGACATGTAAAGCTTGCTAATGTGTAATTATTGAGAAAGTTTCACCATCGGTACTTACTTGTTTTGCGACACAGAGTTGAGCACATTGAAATATCATAAAATTAAGAAGTAACCTAGACCTAAAACTAGGAACCATTTTTAAGTTTGAAAAAAGTAACAATGAAAACTGTCGATTATTGAAAATTGATGAGCACCTATAACTTTATTGAAATGAGTTTAAAAGCAAAAGTTGCATAAGTTTATCTTGGAAAACAGAATGTATATGAAAACTATATCTATTTCTCAAGGATCATAACCATTATATGTACCCTCAGCACATCCACATATATGGTATTTTGGTTCAAGATAGATCACCAAATCCGACACAGTCCTTTATCCACTTGACAAAAAAAGAAACGAAACTGTTAAGAAATCACTGAAATGAATATTTTTAATTAGGTGGGTATTTTAGATGATTTTCTAGCATTATTCTATTTCTATTCATAAACTCTTTGATCTTTAGCAATCTTTTATTAAAATTACTCACGACCTAATAATTTTTGTGTAAGAACACCTACACTTATTTTTTTTTCGGTTTCAAAGGTTTATATATACTTATGGATTTATTTATAATAAAAATTTGTATAATAGACTTTTCTCATTATCAGATTATTATTTTATTTAAATAAAAAACAAAGTGTCAAATATAAATATGTATTTATTGAGTATATTCCAAATAAGAGACATCTATAGTAGGTGTTAACAGGAAATTGATCCCATCAACGTACATTTGGTAGTAATCAAAATGTAATCATTATCTTTTCGTTGATCGAAATGTCAACAAATAGAAAAATCTTATTTTCGAAAATAAAATAGGATCAACTTCGATAAAGAAAAAACAAAATAAAATAAAAAAAGAGAATTATCAAGCTATCAATTGAATCAATATTTGACTTAGTCTTATTTTCATGAACGTAAAAAAACAATTTTTTTTTTATGTGAATTATTTCATAATTCGAGTTTTTTTTTTCTTTCTTTTATTCTCTGTGATATTTGTTTAAATAGCCATTATCATGATCAACAAGTAACATGAACTTTGATCATTAGCGACAGAAGCATATCAATCGGATTAGAAAATGTTTGCCAACAAGCTATTGAACATTCCATACCGAATTTTTCTTTGATAGGTTTTAAAATAGAAAACTTTCAATTGATTAAACAAATGACTCTTGTACGTAGTACATAACATCACTATAGAAGTAACGATTGAAATGATAGACTTTTTGAAGAAAATAATTTTAAAAATATAATATCAAAATGAAAAGAGACAAGTGTATCTTAGAAATAAAAATTCATTTATCTTTCTAATGTATTCTTTCATGAAATTTGACTATGATATTAACGTTATCAGATATATCGAAGATTAACAATCTTAGATGAAAAAGAATATATATTTAAAAAAGAAAAGTGTGACCGATTTGCTCAGCATGTCAGAATTTGTTTTAGAAAAAAAATGAAAACTTTTCTTTTGGTCCTATTGATTAATAGAGAATGAAATTTGATCCTTAATGACGCAAGTATATATACACACGCGCATTATACACATGCATCAAGTAAGATAAACTCATAACGATGTTTGTATCGATCATAGACAGTTAAAGCTCAGTTCCATTCCAAGAATAACAAAACAAAACGCTATGTGGGCTTTTTTTATTTCATCATTTTCTTCTTTCATTAGTTAAGATCCAATTTCAACTCATCATCATCACGCAAGTTCTTTTATTCATACACTTAACACGCAAAAGGTACATCTCATATTTCAAGTTCTTCTCCCACTCTCTCTCTCTCTCTCTGTGTCTTTTATGCATACATAAACTACTTAATCTTAATATTGACATATCGTGCTTACCCCTTTCTATATTATTAAACGGAAGAAATATATTTTTTTTTTATATCTGATCTTTTTATGAAAAAAAAAGAAAATTAAAGTGAATGATAATCTCTTAAAATAGTTGCTGTTCCTGAATCAATCATGTCTGTAGTTGATTTAATTGTATGATGATAATGTTGTTGTTGTTGTTGAGGAAAACAATTTTGAAAGTCAATATGAAAATGTTCATTTGTATTAAGATTTGTTGTTAAACCTAATGGTGCTCGTGTTGTTGGTTCACTACTTGTTGATCCAAGATCATCTAATGAATTCTCACCATTATGTGAAGGACTTATATCAATCGTTTTCCTAAAATTAAACAAAAGAAAACATAATATTGCATATATATATTCTACACCTACGTGAAATCTTTTCTTCTTATCAGCATGAAATATTATCAAAAGAAATATGCGTAACTCTGATCTTCTCAAAAAAACAAGAGACATTGTTTGTTATTCTCTTCAATTAGCAAGTCTTTTCTTTTCTCTCATCAATATAAAAAAAATAATCAATGTCAATCAAACATAACCAAGAAAAGAAAAAAGAAAAAAAAAAAGAAAGAAAACTTTTGTTTATATACACATCTGTTATTCATTAAAAAGAAAACACAACAACTTGCCTATCATTTGTTTCTGATGCTCTATCACGTTGTCGTCGATTTTTAAACCAATTCGACACTTGTGTTGTTGTTAAACTAGTTGTTTCAGCTAATTCACGTTTCTCTCTTGGTGATGGATAAGGATTATGTAGGTACCAATCACGTAATGTATTACGTGATTTTTCTTTAAAACAATAACTTGTTTCTTCACCATCCCATATTGTACGTGGTAGAGGAAATTTTCGTCGTACACGATATTTACCAACAGCACCTAATGGTCTACCGCGTAATTTTTCAGCTTCATTATAATGTGCTTGTAACCATAATTGTTGTAATTGTGGATGACTACATGGTGCAAATTGATAACGTTCTAAAATATGATAAAGTTCACGATAATTTCCTCGACGAAATGCAACAACTGCTTTAGCTTTTACAACACTTTCATTATTATGAAAATGTTCAAATGTTGGTAATGTCCATAAAAAATCACCTTAAAGAAGAAAAAAAAGTATTTTTAATAAAGTATTTTTTTTCTGTTTTTGTCAAATAAGATTTACCGAGCCGTTGAATATCATTACTTTGTTGTAGTACTTCACACACACAAGCGACTTGTTCGGGAGTAAAAATACTACCTATTGTATTGCTTGTTGGTGGTGTATTGATGTTAGTGAAACCAGCGGTCGTCGTTGTGGGTATCGGATTGCTTTCAAGCATTAGAAAAGAACTAAAAGAAAGAACACAAAAAAAAAAATAGATAATCGGATCCACTCGGTTTCGTTTTTTTTTTTGATTCAATAGTAATAGACACCAATGAATGGAAGAAATGAATATGATAGAAAAAAACGAAAGAATAAATGATTAACTCTTCTCTTCTCACGTATTCAATTTCAAATCAAAGACAACAACGATATATGAATTGAAGCACGAAGAAAAGAAAAAGAAGATCAATTGGGTGTGGGTATATATATATATGATAGAAGAATCTATGGCATAGTACTACTCAATTAAATATATGTGTATCGTCTTCGATTACTTTCATTGATACTCATCATGTTCGATGGAAATAGGATCGAGTTTTTAATCGCATTACAACAACAACATACACATTCAGCTATGATGATCAGCCCTATTTCTCTTTCTCTCTCTTTATATGTCTCTTTTTTTCTTTCGATCGACTTGATGGATTAAGTGGCAGACTGTGAGAGTGTGTCTGTGTGTGTATACGAACGATACTCTCTCTCTTTTTTTTCTCTCAGCGGTAACGTTGGTAGTTGTGTCGACAATAATTTTCTCTCCCTCTTCACTCTCCATCTTGATTTTTTTTTCCTTTTTTCTTCGTTTATATGTTGTTATTGTTATTTAGCATAAGAAAAAAAAGATGATTTGCTAGAAATCATTTTTTCCTGTCTCTCTCTCTCTCTCTCTTTCTCTGTGACGACAAATTTATAGTGAATGTGTTGAACGATAGGCGACATTAATATATGATGACAAATGTAAACCAATCAGTATTAAGATAGCGAAAAAAAAAGAAAGAGAAAAAGAAGAAAAAAATTTCCTCTTTTTTGTTCTTGTCATGGAACAAGTGGATCTATCGACTACGCATTACGGATATAATGGTAGTAATATCACCATCGATATTTCTTTCTTTTTCTTTCTGTCTTTTATTTCCCTTGATATCTATATATATGCACCGATCATCATATATACAATATATACTATCGTCGTAGAAAGAAGATAATTGACAGTAAACAGCTGTGCTCTATGTATGTACACATAGATATATATAAAGAACAGATTCTTGTCTATCATCATCAAGAGTCAGTGCTATGGTTAGTTCATGATGGCATCGTTTTCTAAAAAGAACAGTGCACACACATATACACAAACATATAACAACGACATTCCCTCTTCTCTCTCTCTCGCCCGATTTTTTTTGTTCTCATGCACACCGACCTACACATATCTGCACACATTTTGAAAAGAGGCATGACTCTTCTCAAATTTCAAAAAAGCAAATTTGCTTTCTTGTTCTATCCGCGACAGCTGTTGGACAAATGGCAAAATTAGAGATGCTTGTCGTTGTCGTTGATGTGCATTCCCATTCGATCAAGATGCGACAAGAACATTAAATATATACTATATCAAATAAAAGAATGATGATGTATGACACATGCCCGATTGGTGACAAGTTTTTCATTTCTTTTCTTTTTTTTTGATAAAGAAATAACTAAATCTTTTATGATTGGTTGAAATTTAACTGAAAATATAAATTAAAGAAAATTTTTATTTATTCAATTTATATAAATATAAAACAAAAATGAATAATAGAATTTATGATTTGCTCTAAAGAAATACCGCTTAATGTTGACATTCAAAGATAAGTTTTGTATTTAATTGATATTTACAAAAATGATTTTAGTTCTATGATTGATAAATGACCTTTTTTTAAAGTCATACCATAATTTATTTGATATTTAATTAAACAAGAGAAAACGAAAAAAAAAAACGATTAACTATATCGACACATATTCTATTGAGTGTTGGAATAAATAATATATTTCAAAAATATTGCTGAAGTTGTCGATAGTTTTTCGAAATGAAAGAAATGGCTCATCTCACATCGAAACTTATGATTATTGCCATTAACAGCTAAATAAATTTAATATATGATGAAATGTTTTTAGTTAATTTTTTTTGATTGAATGCCACAATAACTATGTTTGCATCAATATTGACTAAGAAGAACTAGCCCAAATGTAATACAAGTTTTATAATTTATAAAGTATAAGAGACATAGGTTAGATATATTTTTAGAAAAATAAGTTTATTGAATGCATACTTGATCAAAATATATTCTATTACACGTAATTATGTAGAATCGTTTTTTTCAATTTTGAAGATTTTCTATAATATGAAATTTCTATTTTTCACATATTTGAATTGTGTATGTTGATGTATTAAATAGTTGTTTTGACTGTAAGATTTAAGGTTAGTTGATTGATATTTCCATCATGCAATAGCGATCCAAGCTTCATGTCAATATTGTCTACACATAACCATCGAATAGAAGATTATGAGACTGATAATATGGGCTACACAACCATGAACTTTATTGTCGATTAAGTCTTCTATTTCCAGTAGCGAATTTCGTGGAAGGTGATTGCCTTTTCTTCCAAAAATGTTTTTGATTTTTCTGAACAGAAAAAGCTCAAAAATGATGCGCTATCATCTGTAGCGAACCTCAAAAAATCCTTTTTTTGACTATGATTGCTTAACTTTCTGCTTAACCGTCCGCATTTACAAAAATCTGAGAATCATCACTGTGCATTTCCCACTATCGATGTATGATTTTACTCTTTAAACTTGAACACTATATATTTTATCACTCGATTCTATTTGTAGTTTTTCTTTTTCAGCAAAAGAGACTAAAAATTAAATTATCCTAATAATTTCTAAATCACAAATGAACAAAAATAACAATCAAATAACTCTCTATCCGATAGATACATCATTATGACTAATATCATTCTATTTCATTATAACAATAAATTAAGTTCAATCATTATAAAACTTACATAACACCAAGCATTGTTCAATCAATATGATCATCATGAATCCTAGCGAATGAATCATCACTGAGAAAATAAATATTAAATTCCAGAAAGTACAATTACCGGTTCTTTACTAACATTGATTATAGACTAAATCTTCTTCAACTTCGCATAGAGATGAATTTTAAATAAAAAGAATTAAATTTATGTGAAAGAAAGCATATTTCTGAAATCTAAACTATGATCAATCGATATGCTCCGTAGTTTTAAGCCAAAGATATTTTTCATCTTGAGATTCAGTCATTTCTACATGATTTATTCTCGCTTTATAGATTAGATATAACTGCAGTATGAGAATAACAATGTACTGGAACAGTTAGTGTACTTATTTATAACTTTAGTATAAATCAAATGTGAGGAATGCTTGAGATATAAATTTAATAAATTTTATTCGTATGAAGTTTAGTTCTTGATTAGATTTTGAATTCATTTTTTTAAAATTATTTCTAATGATTTTTATTTACCAAATCTAATATACTATTTTCACTTTGAAGATGTACTATATTTAATATGTTGTTCTATAGCACTGTCATCTTTCTTGATCCAGCTGATTGTGATCTAATAAAAGTTTCATACAGATTCTAAGACGTTGAAATAAAAATCTATTTGAAATATAAGATTTCCTAATCGATCAGCTTTTCAAGTTTTGATAAAAGCAAAATTACCAATAATAACGTATTCCAAAACATATCATCGATCATTATAAGCATGAGTCTATATTAAAGTCTTCTATTTTAATATGTTTTATATAACTAAATTCTTTACTTCTTTCAATAAACTTTCGATATAAAAAACGTAGGAAAAAAAATTTCTTTCTGAGATACTCTTGTTGACTACAATTAAAATATGGCGCCAGCATCTTATATAAACTGTCTTATGCATTGAACTAGAGTCTACTCACTCTGAATTTTATATCAATTGATAGAATTTTTCATGGACTATAGATCCATGTATAATTTGTCTTAAAAAAAGCTGTGAACTTGTTTGGATTCAAGAAAATTTTATGCGCATAGACAAAATCGGCATTTTTTGGCCAATATTCAGCGATTTGGGTCATTACAATTATCTTTTTAATCAAAACAGGTAGCATATTCTGAATTGGCACCAAAAAATGGCGTCAACCTATGGATGTTTCAAACTTTTCTTATAACATTTATTTTTCAACTTAATTTTCGAGGCAGCTCTGGGGCACCAGCAGGTTCAATTTTGACCAAGAATAAAAGTCATGAAATAGTTGCAAACATACATAGGTTGACGTCATTTTTTGTGCCAATTCGAAACATGCTACCTGTTTTGATTAAAAAGATGATTATAATGACCCAAATCGCTGAATACTGGCGAAAAAATGCCGATTTTTGTCTATTGGCATAAAATTTTCTTGAATCTAAACATGTTCATAGCTTTTTTTAAGACAACTTATACATGGATCTATTGTCCATGAAAAACTATCAATTGATATAAAATTCAGAGTGAGTAGACTCTAGTTCAATGCATAAGACAGTTTATATGAGATGCTAGCGCCCTATTTTAATTGTAGTCAACAAGAGAGTATCGCAACAAGAAATTTTTTTTCTACATTTTTGATAAAGGATTGTTATATAGGTTAGGCACGTTTAATGATGAATTTTGTAGCATAAAAAATGTTCTTTCCAATGGTGTATCGGAAGTTAAATTTAGTCTTGGTTTTTAAAAAGCAAAATAGAGCTGTTTCTGGATGTTACTGTATAATTTGGTCTTTCTTACTACCTCACCGTTTTGAAGCAATAAAAAAGGTTTTTCGAATTCTTTTTTTCTGCTAACTTTCTAGGATCTGACGTATTTCGAACAAATAATACACAAAGAATTCAGTTCATACATAGTTCTTGGAGATTGTGGTTGATCTTATTTGAAATTGATAATTCTTGGAGAAGACTCTATTTTACAAAAATTTCATTTTTCCGTTTTCTTTTTTTATTAAATGGTGAAGAGTGGATCTTAAAAAACTACTAAAGTTGATATCGACACAGCTTTTGATTTGGCACATTTTGGTATATTATTTGTTAAAATTCGATCGATATTGCTCAGGATCATTAAGAAATGGCGACTTTAAGTGGTAAAAACATT